CCATCCACCTACCCATCCATGCATACATACAACCCAACCACCCACCCATTCTCTCACCCTCCTGCCCATCCTCCCACCCATCCATCCACTTATCACTGTCCCCATCTATATATTTGTCAACAACTCACTCATCCACACATTCATATCTATTTATCTATCCACCCATCTACCTACCCATCCATCTAACTATCCACATGTATTCACCCAGGCATCCATCCACCCACTTTGCTTCAGATAGCCAACAAGCCATTGATTTACCCACCCATCATTCAACTCCTTCTCTCTCTCTCTCTCTCTATCATTTCATCCATCCACCCACCATTCACCCTTTCATCCTCTCATCATCTATTCATCCAACCATGCATCCACCACTCATTCATTTGTTCTGAGTTCCGCTAAGCTAAGTCTAAGCCATGGTTCATGGAAGTGTGGGTCCAGCACTTGCCAACGCTGGCCCACTGCCCACTTCGGCAGTTCTCTGTAGTATATCCCACTTAAAAGTGGACAGAAGAACTGTGCCTCACTGAGCACCCCCACAGGAAAGTTCTGGGGAGTCATGACAAGGAGTTAAGAGTTCACCCATCTGCTGGAGTTGTTCAGAGAGCTCCAGAATCCAGTGTGCACATAGCTACAAGGGGTGCCTGAGGCCACACTCGGCAGCTGCTGGGGCCGTTACGTCACTATATTGGTTCCCACCTGTGTGGTGTTTTCTGGTGTCTGTGTCCCGAAGTCAGGAAGCTCCAAGGGCAAGAGAGAGTCTTGGGCTTCCCATGTCCACCTCTGCTTCTGGCAGGGGCACCTGGGCTCATGGGTCAAGTGACCTTGTTGCTGGTCTCTGTTGCCTTCCCTGTGCCCACTGTCTCCCTTCCCCTGGAAGTACCTGGAGGAGCCCACACTCCTTTGTGGGGCAGTTACACTATCCCTTTCCAACTGGGGTGCATGGAAGGCAGCAGGAAGGGCAGCTCTTGAGGCTACCCACAGTATCCACACAAGGCTAATCCTTAAAGACCTGGCTGAGATCTCTTCTTCCTTCCCCCTTCCTCCTTTTTCTTTCCTCCTGACTCCTAGTCTCTGGGCAGCTTGGTCTCTATACCATGCTGGTATTCCTGGGCCTCTTTGCTTTGCCTTTAGAGCCTGAGAGGGACCTTTCTTGAAAGATTTCACCAGTGGAAACCTGTCTTCTTTCTTTCTGTCCTCTCAGATGGAACCAGGAACTTGGGATACAGCTGTGGGCTTTGCTCTCCATCACCTCACCAATGGGGGCAGGGAGGGACAGACGGGCCAGGGCAGTTTTATTTCCTCCCTCCTTTCAGAGCTCTGGAGGCTGGGATTTGCCCCAGAGCAGGTTGGCTCAGGTTCTGAAGGTGTATGGTGGGTCTGAGGTCCCTGGACCCTTTCTGCTTAGAAGAAGGGTAAACGTGCTGAGAGAGGCTTCCAGATTGTGGGGGCGAGCAGTGGCTGCACACACAGCTGAGGACGTGGCTGGGAGCCTTGACACCCCTCTCCCTGGGGATGTGGCAGGCAGCCCAGGGCATGATGTCACCCACCACGCTCCCAGCCCCCAGCCTGGGCTCTGAGGCCGTCTGGTGCATTGTCTCATGCCTGGAGCATCTTGCTGGGCTCCTGTCCCCTCTGGCTGGGATGCAAAGCAGGCAGCCGCATGGACTGAGCACTTGCCAGCATCATGGGCTGCAGCTGACCCTGCTGGGGACGTTCTCAGAGGCCTCCTGAAAACAACCCAAACAGGGAAAGAGACTGATGCTCCCAGGACAGAGGTCAGGACAGTAGTGCCAGACAGGGACCCCAAAGGGCCTCATCCTAAGCTGCAAGTTTTCTTGAAGCTTTTGTTTTATCTCAAAAGTGCTGTGACTCTCACATCCATAGCCATCTTCCTACTGTGCTTGTTTCTTCATTGGAAAGGGTTCCCTGCAGACAAATCTGGATGGGCTGAACCCTCTGGACAAAGAGGAGGCCATTGCACAGCCCACCCACACAGTGGGCAGTGTCTGAGAAGACCTCAGAGCTGGTCCCAGGTAGGTGGGGTCTGGCCCGTGCAGGTCTGTCTGCTGACTAGCCTACTCAGAAGCCATGGTTGTGGGGTACGCTCCACTGAAGGCTGTTCCCAGCTCCTCAGAACATCAGTCTCAGGGGCCACCATCACCCCCATATACGTGACATCCTATCGATTATAACGAATAAAGTCCACCTTGAAACTAATTGTGTTTACAATGTCTTAGCCTTTGCTCAATACTTTTAAAAATGCTCCCTTAGCACATATTTATTGGCAGTAAGTATCACTGGGCTTCATTATGACATTTCATACATATAATGTAATTTGATCACCCCACCATTTCTGTCTCTTTCCCTCTGCCCACTTCCACTGGCCCCGCCCAACTGCTTCCTCTTTGGCTTCGTGTCCTTTCTTGGCAGCCTGATGAGTTTCCTTAGGGGAACACAAGTGAGGGTTAGTGTACAGGAGCACAGCCATCTTACCAACGTCTACACAACTGAAGAAAATGCCTGCTCCTCGTCCAGTGACCATTAACTATTGTAATTCCACATAGAGGGTCCCCATGAGCCCTTCTCCACGCCATGACAGTATGCTGACAGGCCCAGTCTATTGCAGATCTTGCGCGTTTGAGTGCAGGAATCGTGCTAGGAGTCAGCATGCTAGAAGTCAGCATGGCACATCATTTCCCCCACTTCCTCTGCCCCTTGCGTCATCCCCGCCCCTTCTCTGCTCTTCCTTGAGCTTCGGAGAGGTCCCCCATTTGGCAGAGGTGGAAACTGAGGTTCAGAGAGGTAAGTGGCCTGCTTTGGGTGACCATTGACTGTCACTACTCATTGCCTCAGGGCTGGCCTCTGGTTCTGGTTTATTCCTAAGGGCCTCTGTGGGACTACCAGGGGAGCCTTGGGCATGGTGGGGCAGAGCTCTGAGCCCTGTGCTTGCCTGCAGGTGTGCCACTGGTCAGCATGGCTCCCAGGATTCATGGTTACCTGCAGCAGCCCTTGCTGGTGTCCTGTTCTGTGTACAGCATCCTCCCCTTCCGGCTGCAGCTGCAGCGAGATGGAATGAGGCTGGGCGAGGAGCGGCACTTCCAGTGAGTGGCTGGTGGGCAGCATTGTCCCTGATCCTGGGGCCCCTGTGCCCTGGACAGATCTCAAAGAGTGGGCAGCAGGAGAGAGAGTTGGGGTCAGGTGAATTGTCACCCTGGTCAGCCTGGTTGGGGATGGGGAGAGGGAGTCTCCTGGCCATGAGTGGGCCAAGGAGTGGGAATGAGGAGAGACAGCCTAGACCTTTCCCTTAGGCTGGGAGTCTAGAATTCAAAGGGGTCAAGGCATGTGCTCAGCTCACCCATCTTGCTGTGAGATTTGTCTGGCTCTTCTTATGGCACCTCAGTGAGGATTTGGGGTTCCCCTCTGTGGAGGATTTGGGGGCCTGAGGTCTCTGAGGCTGGGAAACCCTGGCTGGTGTCAGAGTGACCAGTCACACTGCCTGCTGCTCTTGCAGAGAGTCCGGAAACAGCAGCTGGGAGATCCCGAGAGCCTCCAAGGCAGAAGAAGGCATGTACCAGTGCATAGCAGTCAGCAGAGCTGGGACAGGACGAGCCAGCGCCCAGATTGTCATCACAGGTCTACCGCCTTCTCTCTGTGTGCCTGCTGGACTTCTTCCTTCCCCTTGGGGGTTCCTCCCAGTGACTCTCCATGCTTGGGGGTGGAGTCCTCGCCTGTTGGTACCTAGGGACAGTCTCTCACCCAGAACATGGCTACCATGTTACCATGACCCCACTTGAGGCTTGTAGGTGCCAGTTGACCCGCTCGATGTCAGTCTCATGCCTGATGTCCTTTCAGGGTTACTGTATCCCTGCCACAATGTCACCACTGAGCTCTAGAAGACTGGAGATACCACAGGCAGTCTCAGAATGAGATTTGATTTACTCTTTAGAGATTCAAATTGTCTGTAGAGCAGAATGGCCATGCAATTTAATGACCCCACATTCATTTTATTAATAAGTTACACAGATGGGAAAACGTAAACCGGGACATTAATGTCATTTCAACTCTGCCAACGTAGCATGTTGAGCTCCTTTTGTGTGTGGTATATGCATGCATGTGCAGGTACACTCTCCTGCGAACATGTGTGGAGGGCCCAGAGACCGACATCAGGTGTTTCCTCTTGTTGCTTTTGAGACAGGATCTCTCATGCAGCCTAGGAAAGCTTTCTAATGTTAGCCAGACTGTGGAGTGGCCCCTCCCATCCTCCCCTCGTGCTGGATTGCAGGTGTGTGGGCTGCACCTGGGTTTTATGTAAACGCTGGGCATCTAAACCTGGATCCTAATACTTGCACGGCATTTGCCTATGGAGCCAGCTCCCCAGCTCCCCAGACGAACCTCTTTCCCCACACTTTTTGGGGTAGTGAGACTGCAGGTGATTCCAGCCACCTGAGTCCACCATGTGACAGTGAGTCAGCCTGTGTCCCTCAGCACACGAGAGAGTCGACTTTTTATAAATGGTGAGCAGGTAGGAGGGCAGGATCAAGGAGCTGATCTGCCATGTACTGCTACCTATTCACACTGGCCTTTTCTTTATTCCTGCTGAGCTACATTAAACTGCTATAACCGCCATGACGCTTCAATACGTACCCCTAAAATCAGGGGATCCTCTGAAAAACTAAGCTCCCCTGGTTAATGGCTGCACTAGGAGGCTGAGGCAGGGGGGTTGCTGCAAGTTTGGAGTCAGCCTGGGCTACATAATGAGTTCCAGGAGGTCCACCAGGCCCACAGAGGGAGACCTAGTCTCAGCACACACACACCTCTCAAAGTATGAGCACTTCAGTACTCATTAATTTCAGCTATAGTCCAGTTTCCCTCGTTGTCCCCAAATATTCCATCTAAGCACTTTCACTAGCACTGTCTTCTTTTTCTCCTCTTCCTCCTCCTCCTTTTTTAGTTGAGACAGAATCTCACTAGGCAGCTATGGTGGAGCTGGCCGTGTGATACAGGCTGGTCTCAAACCCACAGCAGTCTTAGCTCTGCTTCCCAGGCATGGGGATCAGGGGCCAGCGCCACCATGCACACTTGGACATTTTCATCTCCTCTAGGTGCAGTGGCCTGTTGGTCCTCCTCTTCTGGTGGGTGGCCTCTGATCTTGTCACCCTGGTGGCTTGTGTTCCTGGAAGAACAGACTTAGCAACATTTCCTTCGTGACCTTGTGTCTGTTTTGGGCTGCTTGTTTAAGCTCACCCTGTAGAAGGACAGAGATGTTTCCAGCAAGGTTCTTCCTCTCTGGGCTGGCTTCATCCTGGCTGGGATGTTTGGCTTGGAGGGTGTGAGGATCTGAGTAGATCTTGTTGAGTGTGTGTTGGCTGTGGCTTGTGAGCACATCCATGCTGTGAAGAGCTCCAGGGTTTGATAGCACCCTAGGGAGAATGTGATGGGGGACACGCAATCTCCCCAGGGGCCAGGCATCTCTGAATGGTGAGCAGATGCAGGATGAGTGCTCTGCTGGCTGATGTGTCCCGAGGCAGAGGGGACAGCTGTTCCGCACCCTGGCTCCTCAATCCCTCCTACACAACTATCCTTTCAGACCCTCCACCAGAGCTGGTCCCCGGCCCCAATGTGACAGTGTCCCCGGGGGAGACTGCCATCCTGACCTGCCAAGTCCTAGATGAAACTCCTTATAACTTGACGTGGGTCCGGGACTGGCGAGCCTTACCAGCCACAACAGGCCGCGTCTCCCAGCTACGTGACCTGTCTCTGGAAGTCAGCAACGTCATCCCTAGTGATGGTGGACAGTACCAGTGCGTGGCCAGCAATGAGAACGGGGTCACAAGGGCATCTACTTGGCTCCTGGTGCGAGGTGAGGATCCTTCCACTCCTGTTGCTCCCCTAGCACAGCATTCTACCTAGTGTTCACTGGGGACACCATCAGCTCTTCCCTGTGCTCAGCCTTGGAACTTTTAGAGACGGAAGGTTCTGTCTCCTTCTGCCTAAGTTATGATCACTATTAGAGGTTCACCATACAGGGCTGGGACAGTGTGAGAGCTCAGAGGTCAGATGGGCCTGGGTACAGATTGGGGAACACTGGCTGGATGATGGTAGAAAGGCAGGAAAAAAGGCATCCATGTAGGAGTTTCAGGACTGGGTGTGGCTTCATTCTCCCCAAGACTCTCCTCCCTGGGGTGCCAGCCCACCAAGTGTGAAAAAACACAGCAACTCAGCAAATGCTCTTAATTAGCCAGTAACTCCTACTGGTACCAGGAGTATGGTGAGAGACCCTGTCTGGGCTCTACAGGACAGAGATTGATTAGTTATGTCTTCCTGGGCATGGAAGTGGGTGAATTTGCTTTTTTAGGGAATTGGGCTGGCAGCTCGGCTTGAGCTTCGAGGGATCTATAGACTGAGAGTATCTAATAAAGGAACCTAATTTGGGGGTCAGTTTTAGGACAGGTGATGGGGTTCACCTAATGGTCACAGAGATGTGACTATCTCTAGCACTGGCACCTGCCTGGTGCCCAAGGCCTCCAGGGATGCCGAGCTCAAAGCAACTATCCAGGACAAGAGGCTCTCAGACTTCCCAGTGGGCACTGGTGTCAGCGCCTAGCTCCCCACCTCCAGGGATACCACCTGGAAACTCTGGGCCTGAGGGCCTGTGTTTCCTCTCCTCTGACTCCCCTACTGTGCCTGAAGGTCAGGTGTGGGGAAACACCCTGGTCAGAAGGGCCCTTCTCACCCACAGAGGCTCCTCAAGTCAGCATTGACACCAGGTCCCAGCGCTTCTCCCAGGGTGTGGAAGTGAGGGTCAGCTGCTCAGCCTTGGGCTACCCCATACCCCACATCTCCTGGAGCCGTGAGGGCCTCACCCTGCCAGAAGACAGCAGGTGAGTGGGCAGGAAGAGAGGTCTGGGCCTGGCAGTAGCTGGACAGAGCTCTGGGAGGTAATCTCTGCATGCAGGTCTTCTCAAAAAGGGTGTGGTGTGTGGCTGGCTTCTGCCAGGATCCTCTGAGCATGGCGTGGCTTGAGCGGTCAGGTGTTCAGACTTCAAAGAAGAGCCCCGTTAATTAAAAATGACTAATTGCTTAGCCGGCCTGTCCCAGAGGAACCTGCCAGCGTCTGAATGTCATTGACTAGTGACATTAACTTGTTATTATGAGGACTATGAGGCGACCATATGTCACACATTTTTCTGGCATGACTCCAGAATCCATGTGGATGCCAGAGGAACACTCGTCATTCGGGGAGTAGCCCCAGAGGATGCTGGGAACTACAGCTGCCGGGCCACTAATGAAGTTGGCACAGACGAAGAAACAGTCACCCTGTACTACACAGGTACTTGGGCCACAGCCTCCCTGGACACACTGCTTCCTCCCTCCTGCCCAAGGACACTGAGCATCTGTGGCTACCGGGCCCTGTGGGTAGAGCCCCTTACGTGGGACATAAGGTGGACATTGTGGTGGAGAGTCATACAAGGCCCATGCAAGGGACTGGTATTCCAAGTAGCAGGGCCAGGAGAATAAGCATGGATGCCAGGGATGTGTGGGGCAGCTGGAGAGGGGAAAGACCTGTCTCCACTGAAGTTAGGGAAGGCCCAGCCTCAGGGTAGCCAGCCCCACCTTCCCTCCTCTGGCCCACACAGACCCACCATCCATCTCTGCTGTCAACGCCGTGGTTCTCACAGCTGTCGGGGAAGAGGCTGTGCTACTGTGTGCGGCATCTGGGGTCCCCCCACCCCGGATCATCTGGTATCGAGGTGCGTTGAATGGGGAGAAGCCCAGGAAATGTCTACCAGGGCCCCGGACTTACAGTTCTCAGAAAGGTCACTGGCAGGCAGAGACTCCCAACAGGGAAAGGGGTGGGAGTGGTCACAGGAGAGCCAGCTGGTTCCAGAACCCCAGCAGTCTCATAGTCCACCAGTACCCAGACCTGGGCCACCCGTCTCTCCCTGAGCCTCGGCTTCCTTATCTGGAAATGAGATGCGTGAGGATTAAGTGCGCGTGTGTTTAGAGCAAGTGTGGGCTAATTCCTAGCTGAGCTTAGCTGGTGAATGGAGCTGCTTGCCATGCCTGGCATTGAGTAGTGCACTGGGCAACTTCTGAAGGTCAGCCAGGGTTTCCAGAGGTTCTGCACATCTGGATGCTCCCCCAGCAGTGCCTGTCAGGAGTCTCGTCAGAGCCCGCAGGCTTGGAGACAGGCAGGCTGGTAGTCTTGGCCTGAGTTTTGTCAATGGCATTTGTCTAGGTTCTCTGGCTAGCGGGCGGCGGGAGCCTTGGGATTCCTGGCACAGTGATGGTGACCCAGCATGTTCTGGCCAAAGCCTCCTCGCCCCGCCCCGCTCATCAGAAAGGGCCTTAGGGTGTTAGGGTGGCACCTTCTTCAGCCTTTAGAAAGGAGGGAATTCTGACACCTGCTGTGACACGCGGAGCCATGAGGAAATGTGGAGAGGAGGCAGGGCCCCCAGAGACATAGACTAGTTAGCATGTCATTGGCATGAGGTCCCAGAGCCATTCATGGGGGCCAGTCAGTGAGTGTGAGCTTACATCATACGTGCATACGTGCAAGTGTGTGTGTGTTGTGTTGTGTTTAGTGAGACAGTTGCAGGGGGAGGTATGGAAAGAACGAGGAAGCAATGTCAACTCACCATGAAAGTGCTTAATGCCCAGAGCTGAACACTTAGAGACAGGCAATCTCTGTGAGTTCGAGGCCAGCCTGGTCTACAAAGCGAGTCCAGGTCAGCCAAAGCTACACAGAGAAATTCTGTCTCAAACAAACAAACAAAAAAAGAGTGTCGAGATGGGGGAGGGGACATAGGCCCGAGGGTCCTAGGAGAGATGTCAGGGAGGCAGGTATGATAGGCACCGCCCACCTTTTCCTGTGCACTAAAAGCAAGTCCCAGCCTTGGTGGGACCAGAGACAGTAAGGAGGCCCTGATGTGAAGACCTTGGCGGTAGAGTCTGGGTAAACCCTAGCTGAGGGCAACAAAGGGCCTTGGGAAAGACTCAGACCCAGACACACCTTGGGAATGAGCCCAGGAGCCATGGCTTTGGGGAGAACCACCTCCACGGAGCCTCCTGTGTGGCCTGTAGGAGCCTTGGATCAGGAAGCCTGAGATCCTAGCTCCGTGGCAACTGAGGGCCCCAGCCATTGCTTTTTCGTCTTTGGTTTAGGGGGTCTGGAAGTGATTTTGGCTCCTGAGGGCTCCACTTCCGGGATGCTTCGGATCCCTGCTGCTCAAGAGAGAGATGCTGGCCTCTACACCTGCAGGGCTGTGAACGAGCTGGGTGATGCCTCTGCCGAAATACAGCTGGTGGTTGGACGTGAGTGTAACCCTACGCACCCCTCCCCTGCTCCCCCTCGTGCCTTTAGTGAGGAAGCTAATATCTGTGGCACAGGATGCCAGTGTGGAGCTCTGGAGACCCAGAGGAAGCAGGGACACACATTAGCTCCTGCCGGGAAACACAGCTTTGTGGTTGTGGCTAAGTAACAGGAGTTTTCTTTCTAGAAAAGATCTCCAATGTCCCAGGCTGGTGTGGAACTCCTGAAGGAAAGCCACTGAAGAAATAGAGAATGATAGCTCCTGCCTGTTACTGGTCATCCTAGCCGGGGGCTCTCCCTGGCTTTGTCCTTGGGGGCCCTGTGAGAGGCTTTTGAAAGGAGAACTTCATGCTTAGACTGTCACCACCCTGGCTGGACCTCAGTGGGGGTAAAATAGCCCAATGATAAAAACAAGAGCTGTATCTGGTATCTATGTCTTGTATCTGGTATCTGGTATCTGGTATCTGCCAGTTCTGAGCATGCTCCCTGTGCACACGCATGTACCGTCATGACCCTGGGAGGTAAGGGTCATCAATGTGCCATTTATAGATGGGGAAATGAGACACAAGGTGGGCACACGGCTTGCCCAAGGCCACGCAGCTAGGCAGCGCAGAGTTGAGAGCTGGACTGTGGCTCTGAGCCCTTGACCCTGGTGTTTAGGGAAAGCATTGCACAGTAACCAAGAGAGTGAGTGTGGACATCCTTCCTTCCACTGAGCTCCAAGCTACTGCTTGACAAAATACCGAGACATGTGTGCATGGGATGAGGGAGGCTCACATGTGAAACACTGTCATTGTCTTTGCTAGAAGGTTCTAGAAGACTTGACTGTGGTCATTAGCCCTGGCTCCGAATCTGATTACTCTTCAGCTGAGTCTTATATCTCTGGGGTCCAGGCTGAGGTCCCCTTTTCCTTTGAAGGTCTGCTCTTAACATTGGCGCCATCTCCCCAGCTCAGAGGGAGGAGGCAATGGGCAGGGGTGGAGCAGAGTGGGCAGCTGGATCTTGGGCAAGCCAGCCTGGCAGTAATAGTGGGAAATCAAATTTCCTGCCCATCTGGGCAACAGCTGTGGTCCAGCCTTCCTGGCTAAGTTGGCAGACACTGGGAACAGGTGGGTGCTAGGTCTACTTCCTGCCTGAGAATGGACTTCTTGTAGTGTGTAGGACCCGGGAAGGAAGGGAGACCGCCTGCCTGTCTTTCCATCCAGAGCCTAAGTGGTAGAGCAGCCTGCAAGACCCCTGGCACTTTCTGGGTGGAAGAACCCAGAGCTTGGTGCTGGGTGAGTGCTCTGCCACTGAGCCACATCACTGGAAGGCACATTTGAATCACCTTATGGGTCTGGTATTTGTCAATCAAGAGACCTGGACCACTTGTTTGGCAGAGTGGTTTGGCCCCCAAGAGTCCCACTTTCCTCTCTGTGTGGCAGGATGGTTGCAATAGGGCCTTGAAATGAGAGTCCTTGGCAGACTAAAGCCAGACTCTGTTTGACTTGCACTCCCATGGGCAGCTAAATCAACACATTTAGGTGGCTGTCTCCTGTGCCCAGGAGGAGCAAGGGCTCTAGAAGGTGTGTGGTTCCCATATGGTAAGCATGCCAGCTTTGTGCCAGCATCCCATCTCCAGTTCTGTGCCCTGAGCTAAGCTATCCACACCATTGTTGTTTGTTCGAGACTGGATCTCATGTGGTCCAGGCTGACTTCAGACTTTCCATGTAGCTGGGGATGACCTTGAATTTCTGTTACTGCTGGTCAGGTCCAGGTTTGGGATATCTCCAGGTTCTTGGTTTCTTGTTCGAGGAATTGAAATATAAGTTCACACAGATTTGAAGAAATATCAAGGAAACTTTATTAAAGGCAAAGCAATAGAAAATGTTGAATACCCTGCAAGAGAGAGTGACGGGGCTCAGGGGGCCCCATGATTGTTTGTGGCTTCTTTTCATGGGGTTCAAGGAAAAGAACTTGGCTACCGAGAGAGTGAGTGTGGTTCTGTTTTGATTGACATCTTTCTACTACATGTGTCACTTTCCATAACTCGTCTGATGTTAATCATAAGACACACATAAGTGTGTCTAATCATGCACAGGCATGGAATGGGTATTCTTCTTCAAGAAGAATACTCTAACGGAGGGCACAGTTTTGCTGTAATGCATGTACCCAGAACCAGTCCAGGTGGAACTGGGCCTCTACCACCCCGTACCTGGACACAACTGTGTTTGGATAAAAACTGTTGATGATCACTTTGAGGAGAGGAGACACTTAATCCGTCATCCAGAGAGGGCTGCACACCTAGTCTGGTGTAGAGGAGCTTACTTGGGGGAGGGGCTTGTGCAGGAGAGGGAGCTCGGCTGCCGTGTGCACCACTTCAATATATTTATGTTTATCTTTATTGTATGCGTGTGTGGGTATTCTGCCCACATGTATGTGTGTGTACCATGCATGTATATTTTTGGTGCCCACAGAGGCCAGAAGAGGGGCTGGGAAGCCCTGGAAAGGGAGCTAACGGGTAGTTGTAAGCTACTATATTGGGTGCTGGGAATTGTACCTGGGTCCTCTAGAATAGCAGCCAGTGCTCTTAATTGCTAAGCCATTTCTCCAGCCTCCCAAGTACAGTGTTAAAAAGGAGGGTGTGCACAACTAAACTAAGTGAGGCCCCTAATCCTCTCTGTGCCTAACTGCCTCACTTCTGACCCCTCTGCCCCAGCGCCTGCCCCAGCGCTCTGCCCCAGGCCAAGGCAGAGAGAGAGCCACTCCCAGAGAAAGGAGGCGGAGATGACATCATCACAGGGTCCCTGCCTCTGCCCTCACAGAGAGTCAGTGTAGAATCGAGGCCGAAGACAGAGAGGGCTGAGCACACCGACCAGGCCCTGAGAAAGTTCTGAGCATGTGGCCCCATCCCGATCCCCCACATTTCACTCAGTCACCATTTGCCCAGTGAGAGAGATCCAACTAGAGAGCCTTCAGTCTTGACACGCCACTGGGTTCTGCGGTCTCACATATTTGGGAGCTCTGGGTAAGGGATACCTGACTCATCAAGTGGCAGCTTTCTGTGTGGACCCACGGCAGGGCATCTCTGTGACTGACCCCTTCGAGAAGGACGAAGAAGCAGCCGGTGCTTAGGCAACCACTGCAGAGTCCTTGAGCAGCTCCTAGGGGGAAAGAGAAGAAAGGGCCTGGGCCTCAGCACCTGCCATTGACCGCTCTGACCCTCAGTTTCCTCACGTGTGTGTGACTAGAGGATTTGTGATGCCATCTCTTAAACTCCATGGAGTGTTAGTGAAATGGTGTTTCCGAAAGCATTTTCTCCTGGTGGTTGCTTAGAGGGTGTCCAGTGCAGCCATTGCCCTCACATTAGGGAGTTGAGCTGGCGAGGGCTATCTATCAGCAGGCTTGGAGCAGGCTAGGAGGCAGAGGCAGAGCTGAGGAGGGACCCGGGTGGAAGAGCCACTGGACAGAGTGGCTCCAAACCCAAGGCTTGCTTGCAGGAGGTGGTAGTTGGCCCTCACCATGGTGAACACTGTAGAGCAGGTTTCAGGGAACTCAGGCTAGGGCCTGCACCATGGGGAGGGGTCCTCCATCTCTGAGGACCAGGGCTCTGAACCACTTTCTGTGGCCTCGGATCCCATGAAGAAGGGCCCCATCTGCAGCCGGCTCACACACAATCTCCAGTCTTTTCTGGTAATTTTCCAAGCTGTGTCAGTGTCTCCCTTTAATGTCCCTACTCCCAAGGCCAGGAAAGAAGTTCAGTGTTGTCTGAAGGTGGCTGGCAGTGTCTGGAGAGAAGGGAGAAGAAGGAGGAGGCTGCTTTCCCATGGCTCTGGATCCACCCTGTTAATGAAAGCCTGGACCTCCAGGGTGGATGGCTTAGAGACATGGACTGGCAGAGTACCAGGGCTGGGGGAGGGGAACTGGACTCTCTGGGTTGGGAACAGATCTGCGTGTCCTGGAGGACAGGAGCTGGAGTCTCTATTCTGGGGGAAACAGCTCTATTCTTCTTCCTCTCCCAGCAAAAGCAACAGTGTATTTACCGGAAACCCCAGAACTCCAACAGCTTTCTGGGAGAATGGAGTCTGGGGTGCCTGGAGCAAGAATTAGGGGCCTCCCCACTCTTTGTGCTCTGTTCAGGTTTTCGTGGCTTTCATGGCTGGCTCACCCTCGTGTGGGCCTCAGGCACCTGTTAATACATATTCGCCAGCCAGCATCCCACAGTTGACCATGTGTAATGGGAATGCTTTCTCATGTCGTGTTTCACGTGCTTATTCCAAACAGTTCCTGGTACAGGAATGGGAACAAGGTAGAGAGTGAGGACGGCCTGAGGGCAGGGCCATGGAAATGGCGGGTGTGGGCTTCAGGTTAAGCATGTCAGAAGCCAACACAGAACCCCCCTACCAGCCTAGGGTTCAGAAAAGAGGTGAGGTAAATAGGGAAGTCGGGGAGGCAGAGGGGCTCACTGCTTAGCCCCTGTGTGAACCCTGACCCCTTATGGGCTGCACCTCCATCCGCCTTAGTCACAAAGGCTTTTGTGGCCACATGACTCCTTGTAGGTGGTAGGCCCCTAAGGAGGAAGTGCAGCCAGGAATGCCAGTGTTTCCCCTTGCACGGCTACCCAAGTCCCCCACCCCCACCCCGTGGGACCGTGCAAGACGCATGTACAACCACTACTCATCCAAAACGAGCTCATTTTGCATCGTTTCTGGAACTCTCTGGAGGTGGACTGAGCTAGCCTCAGGTTGGCCATGGATCTACGATCAAGAGTGCCCTTAGGTTCACGGGGGGTGAGCCCGGAAGGTGCTCCTAGAGATGAGACCAAGTGAATGGACCGTTCCCCGGGTCCTGGCTCACTGGGGGGCCCCACAGAATAACCACCTCCCACAGATGCACCCAGGCTGACGGATCCTCCCCAGGACGTCACGGCAGAGCTGGGCAAGAGTGTCTTCCTCACCTGCCGGGCCACAGGCCGCCCACCCCCGATGGTCACCTGGCGTCGTGGAGATGGCCAGGCCCTGGAGCCTAGGAGGGGCAGCAGGACCGGGCAACGGGATTCAGGAGTCTTGGTGTTTGAAAGTAAGAGAAGGGAGCTGGGGAGGGCTGGGCGAGGGGACAGGGTTGAGGAGGGCAGGACCGTGGCCCCAGCACTTGCTGTATTAGTTATCTTTCTTTTGATGGGATATAGCATCATGGCCAAGACAACTTATAGAAGGAAGGATTCATGTGAGGCTGACAGTTCCAGAGGGATAAGAGTCTGTCACTAGCATGGCAGAGAGCATGGCAGCAGACAGGCAGGCACGGTGCTGGAGCTTCAGCCGAGAGATCACATCTTGATCCACAAATAGGAAATAGAGAGAGGCACACCAGGTTCAAGTCAGTGGCACACCTCCTCCAACAAGGCCACACCTCCTAATCCTCCCTAAAAGGCTTCTACCAACTAGGGACCGAACATTCAAATAGATGGGCCTATGAAGGCTATTCTCGTTTAATTGGCCCTGGGAAGGTGGATGTTGGCTCTCTCGGGCTCTGAGTGAGTCCTTCCATTGTGAGATGGGTCACCATTCCAATGATACTAAAGGCCTCCTCAGCAGCAGGCCAGCTGCCCCTCGCTGACATATGAGTAGCACACGTGAGCAGCTCAGCTGTCCCATTCCACAGTGGAGCAAGGTGAGGCCCAGCGGCATCCACCTCCCTTCCTCTGTTACCCTGGTCCTGCCTTGCCTATGTGTGGGGCCCAGCTGTGTACTCGCAGTGTTAGAGTCTGTGGGTTCCCAACGACCAGCCCCATTCCTCTCCTCAGGGGTAGGCCTTGAAGACCAAGCCCTGTATGTGTGTGAAGCTCGCAACGCGTTCGGGAAGGCCCAGGCTGAGGCCCGGCTGGTGGTCACTGGACACGGTCTGTGGGTGAAGCAGGAAGCTGTGGGTAGCGGGAGGCGGGTGCTCCAGCCAAGCTGTGGGTGCCCCAGGTGCTCCTTGTATCTACCGTATTGGACCAGTGTTCCCCCACATTTGTATTTCTGCTCCTTGGGGCACATGCTAGGAAAACTAACATTCAAGGCTCCCCAGGCTTGATGTACTCATGGGCTTCTTGGGGAAGAAGCAAGGGCTGGGTCGGTGTCCCTCAGACCCGTGTAACTGGCCATTCTTCTGTTCCCACAGCGCCCCCACAGATCGCCAGCAGTGCCTCCACCGTTCGTGTCCTGGAGGGACAGCCTGTGTCCCTGACTTGTGTCATCCTGGCGGGAAGGCCCCTCCCTGAGAGACGGTGGCTCAAGTCTGGCTGGCCTGTGAGTACTAGGCTTCCCTGAGAGCTATGGGCAGAGGACAGAGAGGGGGCTGTCAGCCACACCTCAGCCTTGGCCTCGAAGCTACTCCATTTTGGAATATCCCCCTCCTCCTCCATCTCTGTCCTGCCTTACCCCAGAACCTGCCTCCTGAATTGCTGACATCTGTGGTCCTGTCTCCCTGCTTGCCGCGCAATGGGGGTGTCTGAGGAGGACGGATGCAGGGGTGGGTCTGAGAAGGGGGGACTCAGGGGTGCCTGGACACGCTGCTGTGATGTTCCCAGGGAAGAGCTGGTTTAGCTCATAGCAGAGCATTCAGGGGCCGTTTCTTCAGTTCAAGACATGGGGCTGTTTACACTGTCTCCCTGCCCCTTGTACCTTTTCTGTCTTCCCCGTGTCATCACTCTTGAAGCCTCTGTGCCTTTGAGACTATAAAGGATTCCCCCTCCCCCGTGTTTCTCTAAAGCACCAGCTGACGGCAGCTGGGACACCTCAGGAAGACAGCCAGTGCTCGTTTGGGCTTTCTATCCCCCACACTCTGCTCCTGGCCTGGCCCAGCCACCGGGCTGCAGGAACAGCCCCAGAAACACCGAGGCTCCTGTCAGGATCACCCTGCTACCTGCAGGCAGGCTCGGGCGCGTTTCTAAGCATCCTGCCTCCCCATCCTTCCGTCCCATCTTAACTATTTCCTGCCTCGTGTTCCCACCAGGCTAGATAATCCTGCCTGTGTGCTCTAGCCCATGCTGTTCCTGCCACCAGGTGCCTTTCCAGTCACCCTTGCTTGTCTCCCCTGTGCTGGGCTAAGGACAAAGCATGCAGCACAAAAGCCCCTCCTAGTTCCCATCGTCTGCCTCCCTCACACCTAGCCACTTCACCCATTTCACACATAGAAAAAACTGAGGCTTAGGGAAGTTAAGCCACATGCTTAAAGTCAGCTAGCTAGTGGGTGCCTAGGCTAGGCTTGAACCCTGTGACCCGTGCTTCAAAACTTCAGAGGCATGAGCATGAGGACCCTCTGTGGCCCACGGTCTGTTTGGTTCTAAATAAAGATTTATTGAAACGCAGCCCCTCACAATTAGTCTGTTTGTATTAAATTGGGCAGTTGAGACAGAGAGCACATGACACAGACAGTTTGCCGACCCTGTTTCAATTCTCACACAGAGCATCATCTGTGATTAAGCAGGAACATCCACTCAATTACCATGTATGGAAAGACCCCTTTGGGTCTTGTGACTTAGCTTGTGACTTAGACAGCCCAGGGGCTCAGCTGGGGTACAGAATGTGCAGCCAGGATCTGGGATGGTGACTGGGGCAGCCCAAAGGGTCAGGCCTGCTGGAAACATCTAGGACATCTCAGAAGAATTTAACAGCTTGACATCGTGGAGGGACAGCCTGCCAGTCTCTCCCACTCAGCCGTGGTGGCTCCCCAGAGCAGCCCCCAGAAGCTGTCCAAGCTCTTGGCATATCTGCATGGCTACAGTCTCCATGTCTTCTCTCTGGGGCCTCGCTGGCATCGAAGGGCTACCACTGCCCCTCAGCCTGAGATCTCTATCCCAACTCCACATTCTAATCGCTAACTCTAAGAGGACAGCTTTGGATTAGGCCGGTGGCCCCTGGCCCATTTAGCTGCTTGCCCGGCTGGCTGAGAAAGGGGTCGGAGTGGGGACTAGGATATGCAAGGGTGGGGTCCCCTTACCCCGCCGATCCCAGAGAAGGGGGGAGGGCTAGAGCAACATTTCACCCCACCAGGCTCTTCTACCAGCTCTGGCCCAGCGTCCCCAGCAGGCCTGAAGGGCAGAAGCTCTTAGGGGTGGCTCCTACCCACCCAAGTGCTGATCCCTCCGTCCAAGCTCCTGCCTCTCTGCCCTCACCAGCTCCCTCCAGGCAACCGGCACACTGTCCGCTCTGATGGCAGCCTCCACCTTGACCGGGCGCTGCAAGAGGATGCTGGGAGATACAGCTGTGTGGCCACCAACGTGGCGGGCTCTCAGCACCGAGATGTGGAGCTCGTGGTCCAGGGTGAGTGTTGGATCCCAAGGTGGTGGTGATGGGCTGAGGGAAGGTGCTTGAGACAGAGTGATCTTGAATGCTTTTGTTGGGAAATTTTGTGAAAAGGACATGTCTTGACTACAGGGAAATTAGCGTTGACATATAACTGTACTGTCCATAGATAAAAGGCCAGGCGTATGTTTTTATATTTTACGCAGGTGCCCTGTCTGCAGCTACCCCTTGGCGTCCATGGTAAACTGGTTTCCAAATACGCCCTTTGCTTAGAAAAATTTGTACATGCTCAAGTCCCTCACATAGAATGAACGGTATCTGAGCTTGGCAGGCAGCTCAGTTGGCCAAGTGTCATCGGGCATGTTCAGAGCGAGTTCCACCCCTATCACACAGACGGGCATGATGGCGCGCACCTGCACACAGCATCTGCAGACGGAGGCAGGGGAGCCGGGAGCTCAAAGTCACACTCAGCTGTAGAGTCAGAGGCTAGCCTGAGCTACACGAAGCCCTAGGTAGGATCTGCAGAGGACGTGTACACATCCTGCTGTAGACTCTGTGCGGCTTCTAAGGCCCAGTGAACGGAGACACTTCAAAGGAGCATCGTATTTATTTACAAAGGAAAAAAAATGTGCTCTTCAGTGGAAGTATTTTTCTAAATATTCCCCCTCTAAGGTTGTTTGAACCTGGCTGGGAATACAGGACTGACAGCACATAGATAATGTTTATTTCGAACAGTCATTTATGCATGTACAACTAGAGAATATATATTCATGATGCATAGTACCTGGACGTTCCTTATATGGTTTGTGGTGGTTATTTTTGCTTGTTTGAGACCGGGTCTCTCTACACAGCCCTGGCTAGCCTGGCACTCACCATATAGACCAAGCTGGCTTTAAACCTGCCCCTGCCTCCTGAGGGCAGGGCTTAAAGGTGTGTGCCCTCACGCCTGTCTCTTCATGTGTTCCTTATATCTGGCTCCCTACCTGTCATTTCCCTATAAATCCATGTGTTTATTTTTGTGTGTATAGTGTACGTGTGTACGCCTGTGTGTTCGTGGGGGTGGCGAAGCTGACATCAGGCGTCTTCTGCCATCACGCGTCTCCTTTCCGTGTCGCTGTCACATTCGTGTGTGTGCCTGCACCGCAGCGTACATGTGGAGGTCAGGGGACAACCTGGGGGAATAGGCTCTCTCATTACCATGTGGGAGCCAGAGAGAGAATTCAGGCTATCAGGCTTGGCAGCGGCCCGGCACTCACGGAGCCATCTCACGGCCCACCCATCACATCACTTTCTGAGGTAGGACCGATGAATGATCCCAGAGCACACTGATTGCCTCGACAGGTTTCATGCGTTCCCACCACCCCTTCTCTGTCTCTGTCTCTCTGTCTTTGTCTGTCTCTCTGTCTCTCTCTCACACATACAGTGCCTAGAGGCCAAATCTGTGACACTGGGTGTGGTCTAACCTGGTCTCTTGGCTTTGTCACGACCATTCCACACATACCACTCATCTGCTGGGAGCACAGGAAAGGCATTTTCCTCCCTGGACACACTCCCTGAACCTCCAGGGCTCTTGGCTTCCGGCTTCCTTCCTCATCATGAGTCCAGAGCTCCTGGGTATGCCTCTGGCACCTGTTTCTAAGTTCATTCTGTCCTGTGAATGTTGTTTTCTGGTGTTTCTCATCAGTCTGTCCCCAAAGCCATGAGCGGGGAATCGGAGTCAATTTAGCTTTCTGGCACATCCAGGAATACGGGGACTGAGCGATTACGTGGTTTACACAAAGTCCCAAGCAGAGAGACCGCACAGCTGTCCCAGCACAGGCAGCCTGTGTCTGGGATGGGTTCAATGACCGCCAGCCATGTGGCCGCACTTACTGAGCCAATTTTCTTCTGCTGTTGAATTTCTTTTAGATATCAGACCAACAAAAGGTTGGTCAATATCAGTGTTTTCTAGCAGCAATGTGAATGAAACACATTCACAGGCGCTATCCACTTCTAAAACTTTCCATCTCTGTCTCTCTGTCTCTGACTTTCATATCCATCTCTCTGTCTCTGTCTCCCCCACCCCTTCTCTCTTTGTGACAGGGTCTTACTCTATATCCCTGGCTGGCCTGTAACTCTTTTTAGACCTGGCTGGTTTTGAACTCACAGTGATCCACCTGCTTCTGCCTCCTGAGCACTGGGATCAAAGGTGTGCGCCATCATGCCAGGCTTGGAGCGTTCTCCTTTCTTCTTCTTGTATCGCAAGTGAGGACTACGTGTGTGTGTGTGTGTGTGTGTGTGTGTGTGTGTACTTAGAAGTCAGAGGTTAATGCTGGGCATCTTCCTTCATCTCTCCCCACCTTATGCTTTAAGGTGGACCAGCTGGTCAGAGAGCCCCGGGACCCTCCTAGCTCTGCCAGTGCACATCACAGAACCTACCTTTTATGTGGGTGCTGAGCCCAGGTCCTCATGGGGCAGGCTCTTTACTGGCTGAACACCGTCTAGTCTCCTCCTCCTCCTCCTCCTCCTTCTTCTTCTTCTTCTCTCCTTCCCCATTTCTTTCTAGTGCTAGGGGTGGAACTCCTAGCTGGGTGCCTGTCAGACAAGTGGATTGCCACGAAGCTGTATTTCCAGCTTTTATTTTTAATTCTGTTTTGAGACAGGGTCTCACTATATTGCCCTGGAACTTGGGGTGCTCCTGCCTCAGCCCCTCCAAGGTAGCTGGGATTGCAAGGTAGCAAGGGTACCTATACCACAAAGCCTGGATAGTTTTTTTTTTTTTATGGATTTCTTAGAAAAATTGAGCAGATTTGCAAAAATATCCTATGCATCCCTATCCCCTCACCTTCAGCCTCCTCCATGTTCAACAGCTGCCTTCACCATGCAGAGCGGCCCCCATACTAACACTACAGGGGTCTGCCATCACTAGTCAAGTCCAGGGTGCACGGGAGGTCTGTTGATTTATACAAATCTGTCAAAACTTGTCCCCACCATGGTGGTCTCAGCCTGATGCTTTCCCTGTCTTGGAGACCCTCTGTGTTCCGAGCCCTCAGCCCCTAATACCCAGAAACCACCAATGGCTTTACTGTCTAGTTTTGAGTTTCTTTTAAGTGTCGGTTTTCTTCCTTGTGAAGGCCGAGTACTATTCCATTATTTGCCCACACCCCACTCGTTCAGTCACTGCTGGCAGACATTTGGGTTGCTTCTGGGCCTTGACCATTTGGGATACTGATTCATAAAATTGGTCTTTTTACAAAAGTGCCACCGAGAATCCATACGACTGTCACCCACCACGTCACCAAGGAAGGGGTGCCAGCCTCCCTCCCCTGCAAGGCCTCGGGCGTCCCCGCACCCACCATCACCTGGACCAAGGTAGGCAGAGCCTGTAACCTTCAGGGGAAGCCGGGGAGGTCAACCTGGTGCGTTCTGGGACGGAATGTGGGCTCTGATGCTGTCATCGTGGTTCTGCCCTAGGAAACCAACACCCTGACTAGCAGGGGTCACTACAACGTGAGCAGGGATGGTACCCTGGTCATCGCCCAGCCGTCTCCCCAGGATGCGGGGGCCTACGTGTGCACAGCCACCAACAGCGTGGGCTTCTCCAGCCAGGAGATGTGGCTGTCCGTTAATAGTGAGTAGTAAGGGGTCCAGAGAGGAGAGGGACCAGTGGGAATGAGGCCACGCTCAGCCTTCTGCCTCCAGCTGAGGCACAGCATCCGGCCCTGAAGACAGAGGACTGGCCCATCCCGGTAGCAGCCTCATCTGCTCCTCACCCCTCTCTGCCCCCGGGCTTCCTTATTTGTTTGCTGTTCTAATCTGCCCCAGGCCTTTACACATGACAGTCCCTCTAATGCACTTCTTCTCCTGTGTCAGACCCCAAGCTGGGCCAAACCGCCTTGTTGGAAACTCCGGGTGGGACTTCCCCTCAGTAGCTCTCATCATTACTGAGATTAACTAATCAATTGCATAGCAGTCACCTGGGTGCCAAGGTTCCTTGTGAACTCTAAATGGTGCCAGGACGGGAGAGGGACTCTTCCCCAGTCTCCCTCAGGGTGGGGCCTTCGGGGAGTGAGTCTGAAACAGTGAGCTGATGCACAAGCTGTTTGTTTTCTGTTATATACATTTAGACTTAGTATTTTATGTCACAAAACAACGGAGATTTAAGATGTACAATGCTTGCCTAACATGTAAGAGGCCCTGGGTTCCATCTCCAGCACCACATTAAAAATTTTTTAATATATATAAAATTTTACATATATATGTCAGATATATATATATATATGTCAGATATATATATATATATATGTCAGATATATATATATATATATATATATATGTCAGGTGTGAGAGAATACATCTTTTAATCCCAGCATTTGGGAGGCAGAGGTGGGTGATCTCTGTGAGTTTGAAGCCAGCCTGGTCTACAGAGTGAGTTCCAGGACAGCCAAGGCTACACACTGAGACCTTGTTTTAAAAATAAAACAAAGCTGGGTGTGGTATTATGCACCTATTATCCCAGTTTTCAGGAGGCAGAGACAGGAGGATCAGGAGTTCAAGGTTGTCTTTGCCTACATAGAGTTTAAGTCCAGCCTAAGCTCCCTGGGACTTAAACTCACAAAGAATAATAATGAGGGAATTTGCTGTCGGAACTGATGACATCACATACACAGGAAGCCACAGCGGTGTTCAGAGGTCCCCACCGTGTGACCTGTTTCTGGCCAAATTCCTTTAGCATGTGCATGTTGGGCAAGCTACGGGGTTGAGAGTGGGCACTGAGGTACTCTTCCATCAGAGGTCTTTGGCCTACGAGAGAAATGATGAGCACAGATCATCTAACTCCCTCCTCCTCTGGGGTTTGAGGAAACCAGAGAAAGTCCATGCTCCATGTCGTGCTCATACTGGGACTGAAAAGGTTGACCAATGGGAGATGACAGAGCAGAGTGAGGGACAGTCAAGGGGGCGGACTGTGCTTTCAATTGTAATGACCCCTGGCCTCACTTGCTCTCCGGACCTCCACTATCCGGGGGAGTAAGGTAAAGGTGGCTTCACCTTCCACTACCCAGGAGAGCCATCTGTCTCCTTCTCCCAACAGCCAAACCCAACATCAAGAGGAATGACTCCCAGGCTATGGATGCCCCTCTGAGAGTCACCGTCAGGGCTGGTGAAGAGGTGACCCTGGACTGTGAGGCCCAAGGCTCCCCGACTCCGCTGGTCACCTGGACCAAGGATGCCCATCCTCTGCTGCCTGTCACAAACAGGTACCCAGCCCCAGCATGTGGGCCTAGGGAGGGGCCAAGCTTGGGGTGGGGGGAGACTGGTCTCCAGGTGCTTACAATGTAAGCAGGTGTGTGTGACCTCAAGGACAGCCGGGGAAGCCTCGAGGGCGTCTGCAACCATGGCTCAGGACACGGCACACATCCTACATGTTCTGCATCCTAAGCCGCAGACTTGAGCTTGCGCGTCCCGGGTCCGGGGGCCATCTTCCTTCTTGTTTGCCCAGGGGCCTTGGCTTTCTGAGCTACACCAAGGTGCTGAGGCTTCCTGGGGTGGGGTGAGACCCTCAGAGTCACCGGAGTAACAAAGACCAGAGGTAGGGTGGGAGATACATCCTGACCAAGACACAAGCCGCCTCCACAGCCACACTGTGGAGCAGGTGTCTGGTGGCCCGCCCCTGCTTCTCTTCACTGGGGACCCTCTGAGGGACGGTTGGTAGCACAGAATGCTGGCTCAGGAGGGGCCGTGGGATGATAGTTCCAGCCAGTAAGTGAGTCTCTAAATTCCTGGAGTCCTTGACCTGGGGTTGGGGCGGGCTGTGACATCAGTCCTGGCAAAGGCGCTGAGATGGTTCAAACCAAGAAGGACTCCAGCGGCTGGCTCTCACCCCACAACCCCCACGTGTCCCTCGGAACATCTGCTTGCTGAATCCTTCCAAACCTCTCAGCCATGTATCGCTGAGTTCACACGGAGAGCTGGCCTGGGTGGCACCCCAGTGGGCGTGCCATGGGATGAGATGGTGGGGGTTTGGTGGGGGAGGCCATGTAGGGAGAACCTATATCTCTTCCTGAGAAAGGCTGGTGTTTGCTCCTTGCTGGGCGGTGGCTGTGGCCTGTTGGTTCGTGTCTGGTTACTGAAATGGGAAGCGAATTCCAGTTGTTCACCCCTCCGCCCTGAGGCGTTAATGGATCAGTGGGGAGCCGTAAATTTCCCAGGACCCGTCTGAGCAAAATAGCGACCAGAGGATGTGTTTCTCTTCCTTTGCTTTTACTGGTATCCTTCTAGAAGGCTCTCACTGCCTCTCTCTGGATTTGGGCTATTCTAGAAGTTTATCTCCATGGGTAGTGAGTGGGCCCAGGATGGGGGTGAGGAGGAGAGCTTGGGCCTGGGGAGAAACTACGGATGCTCCTGGTTTTCACTGACTGAGGGAACACAGGTGACCTTCTGCCATCTTTGACATCTGTGAAGTGGACATTTTGCTGATCCTGCTCTCCTGCTGTGGTGGGTGTAGGGTGCTTAGGTGTTGGAGATGGTGAGGCAGCCATTTGCTTTACATCTCTTTCCTGCTGCTGCTAGGCAGACACACTGAGGCAGTAAGAGCAGCTTTTAAACTGTTGTGAAAGATGGGAAGATGGCATAGCAGTTTTGAGCACATACTACTCTTTCAGAGGACCAAGTTCAGCTGCTAGCACCCAGATTAGGCAGCTCACAAGCTCCTCTAACTCCAACTCCAGGGATCAATGCTCTCTTCTGGCCTCTTTGGGTACTGCAGTCCTCTCTTTGTGTGTGTCTCTCTCTCTCTCCCATCTTTCCTTCCTCCCCACCTCCCTCTCTCTTTCTCTCTGTCTCTCTCTCTCCCTCTCACACTGAAAGTAATAAAATAAATCTTTTCTAAGAAGTTGCCATCCTGGGTCCAAAGAGATGGCTCAGTGGGTGAAAGAGCTTGTGGCCAGGTCTTACGACCTGAGTTTAATCCCTGGGACCCACACGTGGAAGGAGGGGACCAAGTCTCTCTGACCTCCATACAGGCACCCTGACATGTGCATACAGCTGTACACATGCACACACACACACACAACTCGATTTTAAAATTGTTTTAAATTACCATCCTGAGCCTAGGGAGACGGGCCAGTGGGCAACGTGTGTGCACAGAGACCCAATCCGACTCTCAGCACCCATGTAAAGGCCAGGCGCGGCGGCGGCTGGAGAGTGTAGCCCAGTGATGGGAGTGAGACAGGGGCTCCCTGGGCTCAGCAGCCTCTCACACCGAATCAGGGAGACAGGCTCAGTGAGAGAGCGTGTGTGAAAGATAAGGTTGAGGATGACAGGCGAAGACCCTGGTTGACCCCCGGCTTCCACATGTGTGGGCACTCGCGTGCACACACACCACACAGTGCTCCTCTTACCATGTCTGCTGTCTTTCGACTTGGCTCTTGACTAGCTTTTGGGGGGTCTCCCTCCAACACAGAACGGCTCACTTCTTTTATTTGCCCAATTCGGTGGTTTTTGTTTTGAGTAAATTCATAGTCGTGCAGCATTCAGCACAGACAGTTCCGTCCCTCTCACCACCAGCTAATGACAGACAGGTGTCTCCAGCTCTGGGCAATTGTTCAGTTGCTTAGTGCCTTGGTGTTCTTTTCATTGTACTTTAAACAAACAAGACATGTGTGTTTGGGGTTCTTTGGGCTTTTTTAGAGTCCAGCGTTGAGCATGAGACCAAAGCGCAGCGGCTCACAGACACTGAGCTAGCTCTCCTGCCCCTGCCCCACAGACATTCAGTCACAGAACTGATAAGCCTCAAGAGACACACAGCAACTGAAAGTGAGACAGGCATGGCCCTAGTGTCTGCCCTACTCCAGCCCTTCCCCCCTCCCTCCTGCTTCCTCCTTCTCTTCAGCCTCCTGCTCCTTCTCTGAAGAGCCCCAAGCCCAGTTTCCAGACCCATCCTAGAAAGGGTTCTCTTCCTTCCATGACCTGGAGGTATCTGGTTGCCTCCTGATTGAGACTGGTCCCAGCATGCCTCAGTGATCCCTCCTCTGTCCTTTAATGTCCTGCCTCCCCCGTGCCAAGCCTGGCCCAAGGGTCGTGATCCTGGAGTGGCTTTGCCTTGTCTCAGCACCCCTGGTAACTCTGTGAAAGTGGCAGTTGGAGTAGGGAGTCAGGATGTACTGGGCCCATTATGGCCTCTTCCATCCCAGTTTGGCCAGGAATGGTGGGCCCAGGCAGTAGGCCACCCTGGAGCTGGGTGCGGTAAATGGCGTCATTCTGGGGCCACAGAGGAAGAGCAGGAACCAGGGGCTGGGGGAGGGGGAACCAGAATGAGATCTTTCTCCCCTCAGGGCTGGGCACACAGGGACAGCACACACAGACGTGAACATACTCAGAGGCACACGTGAGAGATGAGACACGAGCACATGCTCTTATGCATGTAGGTTAGGAGGCCACTGTTTCCCTAAGTACCTAGAAAATGATATTCTGAACTCGGGGGTGTCTCTAATACCTCCCAAGTCAGCGCTTCCTGGAGAAACTGAGCTCTGGACTGCTGAAGCCAAAAGACACTGCGTGCCCCTCCTTTCCAAGGGCCTCATACTCACCACATGCTCATATGTGAAATTTGGGGGGTCTGGCTTCTGCCCTGGGTCCTGGGTTCTTTCTCGCATGGCCAAAAGCCTGGTCCGCGCCTGCCACTGTGACTACATGTCTCAGAGAGCAAGTCTGCACTGGGGCTGCGCTGGAGCTCCTATGTGCTGTTCTGTTTGAGGGCACACACTTCATTGTTCTAAATGGTGCTGCTGGACGGCTCCACTCACTGCCCCTCTCCGTCTCCTGGGTCACCTCCTTGGGAGATCGGACCTCAGGGCAACCAGCTAAGGAAGAGTTTAGGATATGGTCTTCGGCTATCTGATCTCACGGTCCTGGAACTGTTTTGGTAGACGCTTCCTAGTAGCCAACCCAAAACTAAAGCAGGGTGTGTGGATTGGGGACAGCTCATGCCGGCTCCGTGCCAGATCAAACTAGACATTGAAGGGCTTGGGAGGGGGGGGGAGCTGCTCAGAGTTACCCAAATTGTTTGGTGAACTCAAACAAGATCCATCTCTTCCTCGGGCCTCAGCCTTCCTGTCTGAGATGTGAAAAGGTCCAGCTTGTGAGGGCGGCCGGACAGCATCTCTCTCCTCATCTGGGATGCTGGGCTGGGCGTGCTGCTAGGCAACAATGTTTAATGTTTGTTTGGGGATTCTGCTGTGGAGTGGGGTCAGCTGGAAGTGCTCCTGGCTTCTGCTCCTGCTGCTGAGGCATCAAGCCAGGGACCTACACGGGGCCAGATCCCCAATTCCAAAAGGGGAGTGGTAGTGAGGGGACATGGCTGCTCCAGGCTTCTAATTGTCACACTCTCTCTTCATTTTCTGCCCACTCCCTAGCACCGTGAAGGACAGCCAGCCCACCCACCAACCTCCTTATGTGGCTGACTGATGAGAACCAGCAGCTGAGTGCAGGCGATCTAGAAGCCTGGCGTGTGTGGTGTGTGTGGGTGGGGGAAGGGGGGTGTCTGCCTCAGTGGAGGTGGCCAGTTTGCTCGCTCTGATGTCTGGCTGTCAACCTACCATGTCCAGTGGCTCCCTTTGTTAGCCAAACATCAGGTCCAGAAACTTTTGGTCAACCACAGTGATGGGGACGCCCAGCGGCAGAATCTGAGGGCAGGGGGCCCCTGTTCCTGGGTCATCTGAGTGGCATGGACAGCAGAGCTTGTCACCCTGGCCTCTGCTTTGGTGAACATGGTGGTGCCTGTGGGAACTCTGTCCTGAGGTGCGGCTAGGGAGTGTAAAACGAGAAGGCACCCAGCAGAGGCTGCCTCAGCAGGTGCTCAGCTGCACAGATGTGTGCAGGAAACACTCAAGAGTTGGCAGCCATGGCTGACGTCGGTGCCATCCCTGTTGGCAGCACGAGCAGGCTACATTTTCATTATCTAATGGCCGCTGTGCAGTCATCCCCTGTTCTCTCCCCTGAGACCATCATCCCCCTCTCCTCAGCTTCTCCGGCTCAGCTTTTCCATCTGTGACTTCCTGAGGAGGGACTGTGCCACTCGGCTAAAAGGCTCCCCGCCCTGGGCTGAGAGATGCTCTGACCCACAGACACACAACATACACAGCACGCAGTAGGCCTGTGCTGAGAAGTGTAGACAGTGGACAGGGCATCTTCTCCAGCCTTCAGCCAGATAGCCCCTGTGACAATGGGAGGGACCGGGACAGAGAACCACCAGACTCTCAACAGCCCAAAAAGAAGACCCCCCCGGGGAGGGCACTCCCACTGAATGAATAAATAACAAAAGAGAGAGCCTAGCTTTCTGGGGAGTGTCTGGGGAAGCTTCAGGGAGGGGCTGGGGCCAGTCCCGCCTCGAGGAGGTCCAGCAGTGGCACAACTGTACTGAGCTTGCGGGACAGGGGACTGTGTAAGTGAATGGGAAGAGAGTACGTGCATGGACGGGGCACCCGTGATTCGCTGCCAAATATTCTGTGCGCCTACTATGTGCTAAGGACTAGAATAAAGTAGGGACCTGTGCATACCTGATTTCTCCCAGACAATGTCAGGGAACACATCTGTGATGAATAGTGGCTTCAGGAGCTGGCTGGACAGAGGAGCAGGGAGCGAGGCAGACAGGTGTGGGCTGTGGCTGCTTCCCGCCAGGTGTGTCCTTCCCTCCAGGTGTGCTCTTGTCCATCTGGGGTGATCAGGAGGCTGTTGGCCAGCACTCTGTTTGGGGGAAACTGCTCCCTGCAGAGCCCCCAGCCCAGCATTCTGACATCTGCGCAAGTCTGGCCCTGGGTAAGCAGGGGCCCAGCCAGATGGACATCGTAAACAGGAAACTCCCCTTGAGTCCAAGTGCTCCCTCGGGTGCCACAGGAGCCATCTGGCTGCAGAGCCTTGGAAAGGCAGTCCTACCAATGGAGTCCCCATCCCCAGCAGCATGGCGTCCTGTACACCTCCTCCTGTCCCTGGACGGGGCATCCCTACTGAGCTCTGGGAAAGTATAGGGAGGACTGTGGGGGAGAAGCCGATGGAAGCTGCCTGTCCAGAACCTTCTGTCCTGAACCCCCTGTCCAGAACCTCCCAGTCATGTCCAGCCAGCCCTGGACCCATAACAGTGGGTTTACCTTTTCTCTGAGCCTTGTTGGGAGCTCAGGCTGGGTCGCCATAAAGGCATTGCTCTGTTCAGGGTCTGGGTTGAGTCTGGTGATAAAGGGTATTCCATTGGAGCCTCTGGAAGACAGGCTTCTGGTGTCACAAGCTGGGTAGAGCCATGGGAGACCACAGATGGGCTTGTCAGCCTTGGAGGCATGAAGGTAGCCATCTTGGAGGAAGTGGTGCCAGCATCAAGGTGCATCCCAGCAGGCACAGAGCAGCAGGAGTTGAGTGAGCTTGAGCTCTGAGGGGTTGGACGGGGCCTGGGATGAGAGTGGTGGGGAAGAAGGAGAGGGGAGACTCAGCATAGATCTCTCCAGGCCTTGTCGTTGGAGCGTGTTACGGCCACCTTGGCACTCAGAGCAAGCACCTATTCGCCTGGGCAGGCCAAGTTCCTCTCGGTCCCTGCAAGCATCAATTGTCTTGTCTGAACCATGGAATCCACAGTTTCTTCCTTATAATACAGTGAGCACCTCCCTCTTCAAATGCCTGCAAAAAATAATCCATGATTCGTTATAAGAAAGACAGGGTGCTGGGGGCGTGCAGTGTAGCTCAGTTTGTGGAGTGTATGCTTGCCTGTCACCCCAAGCTGTGTACATGCCTGCCGAATACTCGGACCAGCTGGAAGGTTCCGGGTGGGGGGTTATCACCTCACTCACAGACGAGTGGGTAGAGGCAAGGCCGGTGCTGACAGCCTGGGTGTGGTTGGAAACCACGCCCTCTGGCAGCTGTGTGGAGGGAGGTGGGGGCTGCAGGGCTGTCTCCCGAGGACCCTGTCAGGGCCCCGGGTGCCATTTTGCAGAGGCGGATGGTGGGTCTCAGCAGGGAGGGGATGGGGAAGCAGGCCAAAGAAGCCCATCTGAGGATCGGAGGCCAGCTCTAGCTTGACAGCTGACCCTGGGATCCTCCGCCCCTGCTCTGATCTCTTGTCCCTAGGCTAGTCAGGGTCACAAGCTGTAGCCGCTGCTCCTCGGAGCCAGCACATGTGGAGTTGACATCATGTCTGCAGGCCTCCTTGGGGTCCATCCCAGCTGCTGGAGTCTGGCTTGTGTCCTGCAGTCTTGGGGGGAGGGTCAGGTGACTGGTAAGGAGGGCCAGATCTGGGGGAGGGTCTGCAAAGTTCCTTCTTGTGGGTGTCGAGGTACCTCCAGGAGGTGACTCCAAGAGGCTCTGGGTCTGGGCTTAGGAGAGCCCGGCTCAGACACTGAGGACTTGGGATGGTGGAGTTTTCTCTGGAAGCAGAGGAACTCTAGACTCCTGACAAACAGAAAAGGGTCATTGCCACCAGTGTGGCGTGGAGAGTGTGTGTGTGGGGGGATGGGATCAGAGCGTCGGGTATGCAGGCCCATTTTATAGATGAGGAAATGGAAACCCAGTTTGTGCACGGAGTCGCATAGCTAAGAAGGCTGGGAATGTGGTTTGGGACCCAACCACCTCGCTACATTTGCTACGCTGAGAGGGACTGGCTTTGGCTTTCGGAGGCAGAGCAGGGGCTGAAGTTGAGGCTAGAAGGGAGACATGACCTCAGTCTGGGAAGGCTGCCTGGGGGAGGCAGCTGGATCCTTGCAGGTGACTCTCCAAGCCTTTCTCTGGTCATGGTGGAAAGAGATCTCCCTCCCTCCCACAGGTATGACCTCCTCCCATCAGGCTCCCTGCACCTGGCACAGACCCAGGTGGGTGACAGTGGCCACTACGAATGTACAGCCAGCAACCCCGCCGGGGCTGCATCTCGCCACTACATCCTTGGGGTTCAAGGTAGGGCCCACAAATTGCTCCTTACTCCACCCCCAATCTCCACGCCCTGAAACTCCACCATCTCTCAGGCTCCACGGCGGCAGACAGGTCACCCCACTTTCTGAGTCTGGGCCTGGGGGGGCTGTTAAAAGAGGCCCACCAAGAACAGGGCCCAGTGGGGACCACGAATAGGGATGCCAAAGGGGCAGTGGTTTCAAGGGCCTCTCTGTCTGGTTGGAGTCGTGCAACCTGGAAGCCCCACTCTGGCTCTGCAGAGGCCCATGGGGTTTAGGCATCTTCCTTCCACGAGTGCGTGGGGTCCCTAGAGACCCTTAGCACCCACTCTACTTCAGCAGGGTGCCTGTGCCCCTGTAACAGACCCGCTGGCATCGGGAGCAGCTCTTGCTTTTCCAGGCACCACTGCAGCCCTCCCTTTGTGGCCAAGGTCTAAATTTGCATCCACCATGGTCCCGGTCCCCAGCACACTGGAATGGTCCCGTTCCGAAGAAGCCATGCCATGCTAGTCACACACCAGAGCCCTGGGGAGACCGTAAGGCAGGAGCAAGCATGGCCTGTCCCGCGTGCTACTCCCATAGGGCACGAGGGGGAAGAGTGGAAAGATAACGAATGTTCCACGTTGTTGATGATGACTTGAAATCCATGCTCAGAGTCCGAGGGTCATGGGGAGCAGCTGCAGGTGTTCATCTATGTCCTTCACACTCCAGCTGGGCGGCCAGACATATCACCTGTCCTCACAACCAAGCCTCTTCACCCCTTCCCCCATGCTCGCCAGCCCTGTCCAAGCCAACAGATGTCAGCTCGCTGACATCAGGGTTGTAACATAGGCTAGGGCTGGGGACCCCTAACTGAGTAGGCCAGCCTGACGTCCATCCCTGGAACTCTGCCAGTTCCCCCCCAGGTGCAGGCTGGCCCTCGGGTCCTGAAGGTACTGGCCGGAGAAGCCCTGGATCTGAACTGTGTGGCCGAGGGCGACCCTGAGCCTCAGTTGAGCTGGTTCAAGGATGGGATGGCCCTGAGGGGTGAGGAACCCTCTGGCTCCGTCCACTTTGCTGCTGCCGAGACCTCTGACACTGGGCTGTACCGCTGCGAGGCCTCCAGCAGTGCTGGCACCGACACCTGGGAGCTGGAGCTCCGTGTGCTGGGTGAGGCCCCAAGCCCCAGCACAAGTCCCCTGTCTTCCTCCCTCCCCGCCCCCCCCACCCCCGCCACAGCCCACACCTCTCAGGCACTTGTTCTTCTGGCTCTGCTTGTCTGGTCCCAAGCGGTAAATCCTCAGAGCCACTATGCAGGCTCCATGCTTACATAGATGACCTGTGGGCCTATGACCCTAGTGTCCTTAAGCAAACTCCCTGTGGGACCATGGTTCAGGGCTCAGGTCTCTCTCTTACCACATGGGTAACTTGGATTTTTTTTTTTTTTTTAACCTGTGAGGTGATCCAGTAATAGGCAAGGTCACTGAGAAATTGTGTATGACCCACAGGATATTTTGGACCAATACTAGCAGTTTCACTGTTGGGAACTAGAAGCAAGATGCTATTGGGCGCAGGCCCCAGCCTATGCTGCTGGGGGAGGCTGGGGGCTAGGGCTTTGGGAGGAGACCCCTTCCCATCCAGTCCGTATTGGGAGGGAATGCTAGACCTGACGATTATGAACATGGCCTTGTCACCCCCACAGAGCCACCACACTGGGGGCCTGACGAGACTGAGGGCCTGCTGGAGCGAGTGGCTGGAGAGAATGCCAGTCTGCCGTGCCCTGCCCAAGGTGAGGTGGGGCTAGGGAAGCAAGGCTGGTCTGGGCTCCAGGACCTTGGTCGCCATATGACTCCTTGGGTTATGGAGTCACACTGGGAGCTCCATTGGATGGATATTGCCATTAGTTATTTTGTATTGGGGTTATCCTGTCCCAGAGAGGTTAAGCAATTTGCATAAGGTCACACACACAGCCAGTGTCTGACTCAGTATGGTCTGGTTTGACCTCCAGTCAGCCTGCCTATGAATCCTCATAGTTCTCGGCAGCTGAGATTGCGGTGTTACCACTGTTCCAATACTTTGCCAGTGTGGTCCCAAGCAAACCAGTCTTTTCTGGGTTTGCTTGGGGTAGCAATGCAGTCAAGGATCCAGCTTGCCACCTCTGGGTCAGCTGTCCAGGTCGAGCTCAGTTTTGGTCCTTCCTGGAGGCTGACCTCTCTTTTTGAACCCAGGTCTCCTCATTTGCATGGTGGGCACACACCAGTCCCTCCCCATGGCACTGCAGGGCAGGGGGTGTGAGTCCCAACCTTGTGCCTGGCACTCAGGAGGGAAAATGTGGTCCACTCCACCCTCCAAAGACCTCACTGACCCACCTTTCTGGGCTTGTCTGTGACTGGTGGGTGAAACAAGCCATCTCCATCATGGTTGGTCAGTGTTCCCAAAGGCTCGGTTTATGAGGAGCAACAGGTGGGTAGAAAAGCCAGCAAGAGCATACCGGGCTTCAGCTCACTCTCCAGCACCAGGGCACCTGGGAGATCCCTGAACAGCCCTAAGGAGGCAGATGGGGGGAGGCGCTCTGAAACAGGCACCTAAGTGGGGGCTAGGAGCCTTGATCATAGTGCCACCTAATGTTGGACTCTGGAAACAGCAGGCAGGAACACTGCCCTGGGGAAGCCACCCGACTTGGCCTCCTACCTTCAGGCAGTCCCAATGTGGTCTGCTCATATCCCTCCTCCACCTATGCTTGGATCGAGGACCAGACTTCAGCTTCACCAGCCACACCAGCCTCACCCAAAGCCCTTTTGTAATGCATCCTGTCTGGGCTGGTCCACCCCAAGTCTGTATTCGGTGCTTTTCCCAAGGGTAGATAGCAGTGGCCTCTGCACGCTGAGGGTTAAAGGGGGTAGAACCACAGTCTGGCCCAAGGAGTACCCAGGAACACCATCACCTCTCCTTCAGGCCTGGGCTGTGGCCATGAGTGTGGCCGCCCCATGTTTGGTCACATTTGGCGTGAAGGGAGAGACGGGACAGGCAGAGTCAACATCACCTGCCGTGCGGCACGCTGAGCGCAGCAGGCTTGTTCATTCATGCAGTGCCCAGTGTGCAGAGCAGGGGACAAGGAGGACCCTCATTCTCACGAGGGCAATAAAACCTAACCCCCGGGAGGGATATGCAGAATGCTTAACAGTTGGGGTTGTCGAGAAAAGGAGCGCTCTGGGCCGGCAGCAGATAAATGGGGTGGAGGTGGGGGATAGCTCTGGCCCCCTTGAGAATCAGAAAATGGGATTTGCCCGTGCACCTGTGCCTGGATACCTCCACTCATTGTGTGGAGACAGGGGACAGATGCTGCAGATCTGATAGAGCTCCTCTTCCTGGCCTGGAGGTGGCACAGGGCCTGAGGTCACCCCTCATGAAGGTCAGCATGTACAGAGGGGCATATGAGGGGACAGGGCTGTCAGGGAGGCACGGGCTGTCTGCTATTTTGCCTGATGATTCTGCATACCCTGCCAGGGACACCAAAGCCGCAAATCACATGGCGGAGGGGTCCATCGTCAGAGCCCCTGAATGGCCGGGCAGGCGTGGCGGTGCTGGATGAGGGGTCGCTGTTCCTGTCCTCAGTGTCACTTGCAGACGGCGGAGAGTATGAATGCCAAGCCACCAATGAGGTGGGCTCTGCATCCAGGAGAGCCAAGCTGGTGGTCTACGGTAAGCCGAGGCCCTGTAGCGGGAGGCCGGGGATGGACTTGTACCCACCTCCCACACAGAGACCCAAGGTGATGCCAGGGCCCCAAGGCCCCAGAGCGTCCTTCACGGAGACTATGGACACCTGATCCCCACCTCCATCAACAGCCTCTGTTCCCTCATCGCTCACACTTACTCTCTCGGATCCCAGAGGCGGTGGCCATCGCCTCCTGGATGGCACCCGGGCCCTCCACTTTCCAAGGATCCAAGAGTCCAGGAAGGTTTAGGCTGTGAGGGTATTGCACGGGGCACCCCAATTCACCAGGTACATCTGTAGGGACAGTGTGGGCTTCTGGGATGTCAGCAGGTCAAGGTCGGGGGCAATAAGCTCACTCAGTGAAGTGCTTGCTAGGCAACCATGAGGATCTGAGTTTGATCTCCAGCACCCGTGGAAAATGCTGGGTGCCGCCTGTGCTGGGGAAAGGTAGGAGAAGCCTGAGAGCTTACTGGCTAGCTAGCCTCTTCTGTGTGCTCGTGATGCCTTTCTAAACACAGAAGGGGGCTGGCACCCGAGGACTTACAGACCGGTTTGTTTACCCTTCACATGTGCGCGCGCGCGCGCACGCACACACACACACACACAAAATTAATAAAAATAAACACGAATGAGCTGTGCAGAGCTCTAGCTCATCTCTACCCTGTGAGATGAGGCTTGTCTACCCACTGCCAGCAAAGAGAACTCCTGCCTCTGCACCTAGGGTTCCCAGTGCAAGGTTGGCGGCCTCCCACTAGCCAGGACTCCACAAGGACAGGACAGGCTGGGAGCACTCTCCCTGCTGGGATGGGCCTGCACTCTTAGCCTGAGCAGCACTCACAGCCACCTTGAGTCCCCAGTTTGCCGGGGAGCAGCTTCCCTGGGAGGTTGGCTGTAGACACACCTGGGCCCGACCTTTGGCACATCCCACTCGGGGACCTCCCCGATGTGACACCAGCTATGTCCTGCCTCTCGGACTGAGTGTCAGCACGTGGCATCTGTTCACAGTGGGGGAGGTGCTGTGTGGTTCCCGGTGAAGCTGCTGAGAGTGCCGCCTCGTGGTTAGATCTGGGACCAGGATAAACGAACGCAGCATAAGCGAACAAAGCAGGGTCTTCTGGGCTCAGAGGCAGGCAGATGACCTGGGGACCTGAGGACCTAGGGAAGGGGCAGGATGTGGGTGCTCAGCTCCACCTAAGTGGGAGCCGCTCTTCTGTTTCTCCTTGCTCCCCAAGTGCCCCCCAGCATCCGGGAAGAGGGACGCACGACCAACGTGTCGGGCCTAGCTGGGCAGCCTCTGACGCTGGAGTGTGATGCCAACGGCTTTCCTGCCCCCGAGGTGGTGTGGCTCAAGGATGGGAAGCTGGTGGGTGTCTCCAGGGGAGGTGGGATGGGATGGGGGATGGACTTTGGGATAAATATGTGTTTCTATGTGTGCTGAGGTGACATAGGAACGTGACAGATGTCTTTGGGGATGCCCAGGTTCAGGGACAGCAGGGAACAGTGGTCCTGAAACAGACTTCCTGAGGGTCCTCTTGGTGGACTGAAAACTCAGCTGTGGTCAGCAAGCAGCTCCATGGGCCTCTGTTCCCTCATCGCTCACACTTATCTCTCAGATCCCAGAGGCAGGTGACCATCGCCTCCTGGATGACGCCTGGGCCCTCCACTTTCCAAGGATCCAAGAGAGCGATTCTGGCCTCTATTCCTGCCGAGCTGAGAACCAGGCCGGAAGCGCCCAGAGAGACTTCAATCTTGCCGTGTTCGGTGAGTGAGGACTGTGTCCCAAACTCCGAAGCGCGTGTCAGCAGAGAGCACGGGGTCCACCACAGACCCAGAACCTATCCTCAGGGGCCCACAGAGCAGAGCACACAGGGGACAGCCATGTGGTTAGCTAAGCAATGACTGCCAGGCAGGCTTAGTTGCTGCACTATCTGACTAGAGCAACTTAAAGGAGGGAGGTTTATCTGGGCTCGCAGGGCGAAGGCACAGTCCATTCTGGTGACAGGATGCCACAGCCATGGGAGCTTGACGTGGCCAGAACGTCACATTCACAGACAGGAAGCAGAGAGAGATGGACACTGGTGCTCCGCCTGCTTTCTGCTATTTACGAAGTCCGGGACCCTAGCCTATGGGGGTGGGGTCACACGTATTTAGGGCGTGTCTTCCCATCTCAGTTAACCCAATCCAGAAAATCCCTCAGAGACACAGACATTTGTTTCTGGGGTGATTCTAAATCTCATCTAGTTGACAAGATTAGGCATCACACTCGGGGCTACCCGGGGGCCCGTCCAGGCTCTGGGGAAAAGGTTCATCCAGCGCTGTCTGGGGAGTCCTCCGGTGGGTAGGGCGTACAGGCCGGGGACCTTCCTGCCGTCAGCAGGATGTGTGGAGTCTGAGTCGTCCCTCCTTTACTTCCCTGCCCACCCCCAGTCCCTCCCTCCTTGATGGAAGCTGGGGCCACTCAGGAGATGCTGGGCCTGGCTGGAGCTGATGTGAAGTTGGAATGTCAGACCTCAGGGGTCCCCACACCCCAGGTGGAGTGGACCAAGGATGGGCAGTGAGTGACCCTCTCCGTGGAGTGGGGGGTTGGGTGGGGTCAGGGAAGTCCGAGAAAGCCCGTGGTTGTGGCGGGTGCTACCCAGCATTGCATGGAAGGCAGCATCTGTGTCCTTCCCATGGGAGATACCCAGGAGGCCCTGTTCTCATTCTGGCAAGATCTTGCCTTGACTCTGTTCTCTTTTTTCATCTCCCTGATTCTGGGGCTCAGAGGCCCATGTGAAAATTACATCATGTACAGTTAGCTGTTGTAGCCACTCTAATTCCAGAGCATTCTATCACACACACACACACACACACACACACACACACACACACACACACAC